TTATCAAACCTTAACTTCTGATGGATTTTAAGAAGTTTTCTGCGACAGAAGCAGAAGAGTGTCCCTTCCCAAGTATTACAACATGGTGAACACATACAAGAAATGCAGAATGTTCTGCTGTTCTGTCTGAGGCTGGACACCAAAACAATTAAACAATCGACACAGAATAGACTAAACGCGCGTTGTTCATCAGACAAATCATAGCGAGAAGGCGTCTTGGTGAACTTGTAATTTGTGAGACCTTCTTTCTCTCCGAGATACTTTAGATGATGAAAAACAATCCCGACAGCTTCTGATGACAACTCAAAACGAGTTTTAGAACTTCAGCCATCTTCCTTAATTTTTCAAACGTATCCATTCCTGACAGGCAGGTTACAGTTCCATTCTTCTTAACCGTTAGTTCTAGAACGATAAACCGGGCGGCGAGAAAATCTTGGAGGGACTTATAAAGAATATAAACGATCTTCTCACGGTTCAAAACGGAAAGTTTGGAAACTTGGAAAAAACCGATATGTATTAGCTTCTCGAACAGATCACCATTCTCTAACTTTGCTGAAGTTGAAATGAAGGCGATCTTCCAAAAGCGCGTTATATGCATTTTTTCCTATTTTGGAAAGTTCCTCTTGATATTTATCTATGCTTTTATCTGCTGTGACATTTTTTGACTTTTTTGCAGCCATGTGATCCAAGAGAGTTTGAGTAAAACCCACGTAAATGTACGCACGAGATGTTGGTAATTTATACTTTTTCTCTTTCCAGAGAAGACACAACATTAACAGCAAAAGCGGTATTTCTGTCATCTCTTCGAGATCCTGCTCCCAGAGGTAGTTAAGTAACCTATTAACGTCCTCCTCGTTAGATAGAGTCTTTCTTGCAAACTGTTCCTTTTGCTCCCTGCTATCCAGCCCGTTGATTTCAAACTGAGCATGACTTGACACTCTAAGCTCTCTTCTTTTACTGGTCGCGTTGTGATCATTTCACAACAGTCTCAGCTGACTGCCTCTCCAAATCTGGTGAACTGGGGATCATTTTCCACTGCTGTACTCGTCATATCCATCCAAAACGAGCAGCACTTTCTCCTGGTTCTGACGGACAGATTCATACAAGTTAGACAAGTTATTGACTGACATCGACTGACATCGGATCGTCAGCAGACAACAATTCAGCGGTTTTCAACATGGTACAGAGGTCCGGAATATCACAAACGTCTCGCAACTTGGCTCATCCTCGGTGTAAAAACCTGTGAAGCTCACGAGTGACGTAAAACAAAGACAACAAAACATTATAAACAATAGCGTACAGCAAAACAATACCTCGTGAAACAAAGAAAACCTCGTCAGGTTTTTACACCGAGGATAATCCCGCAACTTGATTAACAGTACAAGAACAAACTTTCTGAAGATCTCCTTTTTGCCATCTGCCCAATCAACGGCCAGTTTTTGGGTGAAAGTAGACTTTCCTACTCCAGGTCTTCCATACACTAGAATTCGTCTTCGGATGGGATGATGTTCGTCACTTCCAAATACTTCACTGTAATCTTCCAGCGTTTCTTTCGTAATTCCATCAGGTTTTCTGTGGTCTTGCAAAAGTGTTAACTGTATG